ACGCAAGCGTTCTCCAATGGCTGCCCAAGTGTCCACAAGTGCAGTCAAACCGCCCGTACCGTGGAGGGGGGAGGACGGTTGTGGAGGCAGGGGCAGCTGTGGCATGGTACCATCAGGGCTCGGATCTGCTGTCTAGGGTTCTGCAGCATAACAGATTCACGATTTGCCATGGTCAAGCCTGGTTCTGATGGTATTGGAAATGACAGAAGACGGTGGGAGGTATTGTGGCCATGAACGTGATATGGACGCAATGCACGTTCTGGTGGTGGGAGTCGCTGTTCATCTCGCGCTTGTTGATTTCCATGCTGGGTGCGAGCTTCAAGCATAGTTTCAAGGTAGTCCTCGGGCTCGTCATTGTCTGACATGATGCGCGTATGTTGTGTGGCGATTGTATGAAGAAACAAGAAAACTTTGCGAGGAAGATATTTGGTGAAAAGTCTAGGTGATAGTGACGTTTTGCGTGAATATCACACGCTCAACGCGAGAAGAAGTGTATATAGAAACGAATCAAGTATTTGCTGGCCAGTCGTCGTGGGCCTTTCTTCTTACGCGGATAGGACCTTGAAGAGTTTCAAGTGATGTATCATGAAGCACTTCGCCTTTCTGTAGCACTTCGAGGTGGCCGTCTTCACGCAAGTCCCATATCAATTCACGCACGCGCGGCATAAGTTCTCGCCATTCCTGTACCTGCTCAAACTCCAATTCGGCCGGCGACAGAGCACGAACGATCTCTGAGGGGCAGAATGTTTTGGGTGGCTGGCGTTTCTCGAGGAAAGCATACAGCTTGTTCATCAGAGGAGAGTTCTCAGGGTCAGACATGTTTCATAATATAAAATGGGTGCACGTGTTTCCTGAGTGCCCTAGGCAAGGTACGGTAAGGTAGGTTGAGGTAGTACGTGGAGAGGAGTTCATCGGGAAGTCTGGTCTGTCGGCGTCGGAGCGGAGAGATTCAGCCGTCTTGGCGGGATGATGTTGCGGTTTGGCGGGTGAAATTATTTGGACTTAAGGTTTCGCTTTTCTACCAGCCGCAATTGCAATCCTTTCGAACGCCATTAAACATCCTCTGCAGCGAGATTATATTGCAGTCATGGCAGCCGAAGTGCAATCACTCCAGCCTATCAAGCTGGCGACTGGTCCAACACCACTCACAGCAGATCAGCGATACTGGAGAAGTTTCAAGAACCAACAACTTGTGCCATCACCGAGTTCAAACCCAATCACTCACATTTCATTCCCCGGTCTGCCTACGAATCCTCTCGCGAACCCGCCCTCGGACACATTCGCCGTCACTTCAGGCAGCAGAGTGCAAATATTTTCCACAAAGACGCGAAAACTTCTCAAGACCATCTCGCGTTTCGGGTTTGACGACATCGCTCACTCTGGCGAGATAAGAAGAGATGGCCGGGTTCTGATTGCAGGAGGAGACAGTGGTGCCATTCAAGCCTTTGATACTGGATCGCGCGCAATTCTCAAGACATGGAAAGAGCACAAGCAGCCCGTTTGGGTGACAAAATGGAGCCCGGTGGAATTGACGACAGTCATGTCTTGCAGTGACGACACGACTGTAAGATTATGGGATCTTCCCAGCGAAATGAGCACAGTCACCTTCAGTGGACACCAAGACTATGTCAGAAGTGGATGTTTCATGCCCGGACAGAACAGCAACCTGCTTGTCAGTGGAAGTTACGATCAGACGGTTCGCCTGTGGGATCCCAGGACACCCAGCAAGGCTGTCATGACCTTCAAGCATGCTGCTGCCATTGAGAGCGTCTTGCCAATGCCCTCTGGCACTCAGCTTTTGGCCAGTGCGGACAACCAGATCAGTGTCCTGGATCTTGTCGCTGGAAAGCCACTCGAGCTTATCAAGAACCACCAAAAGACCGTCACATCACTTTGCCTGGCCTCAAATGCGACAAGAGTGGTCAGTGGTGGTCTGGATGGACATGTCAAGGTTTTCGAGACCACCGGCTGGAATGTCGTGGCTGGCTTCAAGTTCCCCAGTCCTGTTCTTTCTCTGAGCGTTGTTGGCGCTGGCACAAGCAGAGAAGACCGCCATCTGGCAGTCGGTATGCAGTCTGGTCTTCTGTCTGTCCGCACTCGTCTATCCGGACAGCAAAAAGTCCAAGCAAGAGAAAAGGAGAGAGAGATGAAGGCTTTGGTCGAGGGTAACATTGAAGATTACGACAAGAAGAAGGCCAAGAAGCTTCGACAAGGTGACAAGAAGGCTCTGCGCGGCCGTGACTTTACTGGTGAGGGCGCCGACATCGTCATTGATGGCAACGCCAGAGGCAACATCAGGAACCAGTCCAAGTGGGAGACTGCATTGAGAAAGGGAGAATATGCCCGCGCCATGGACCTTGTCCTGAGTGCTCCCGTCTTCCACAACCCTAATATGCTCACTCTTATCACCGCCCTTCGACACCGATCAGCTCTGCGCACCGCATTAAAAGGCCGCGACGAGACTTCCCTTCTGCCCATCATGAAGTGGCTAGTCAAGTATATCAGTCACCCACGCCACATCAAGATCACTAGCGAAGTCACCCTTCTCATTCTTGACATATACGCCGAGCAATTCGGAGAGTCGCCAGAGATCGATAACATTTTCAACCACCTGCAGCGCCGTGTCAGGTACTGCTCTGAGCAAGCTCAGCAAGCCCAGTCTACCCAGGGTATGCTTGACATGCTGGTTTCCGGAGCATGAGCTCAACAAGATTGCGCATAAAGTGCGCTTACATTAATGATACCCCATGTTATAATTATTTCGCCGAGCATGTGAATGCTCTCACTTGGCTGAGTGTCCATGTGATGATCTTGTACTGCGGGGACACAGGCGCTCAGACACGGCACGCCTGGGATGTCCTCTCATTGATACATTGAGCAAGCAGACTGGCGCGGCTGACAAGTCTGCCCGAAGCCACTGCCAGCGCTGTACCTAATGCATAGGGGCTGGAGTCAGATGTCGATACTGTGGTGCCCTATTGGACACACATGGCTCGGGCAGTCCTGGTAGAAAGTTTGGGCCGAGTGGCGATCCAAAGGCGCAGTGTCATTGGCCGTGAACAATCATGATTGAGAAGAGATGGACATTGATTACGGAGGTGCTAGTTCCTCGACCGCCATATTCAGAGGGAGGCGGATGGTCAGCATCTTGTGAACGACTTTGCTAGATTAGATAGAGTTCTCGAGACAAAGATATGAAGGCATTATAAGCGACTACTTTTCGCCATGCCATGGCTGATGAGAGCAATACGATGCCTTACCTACCTTAGTAAATGTGGATGCCTTAAATATGGGCAAGTGACTGCCAAGAATATTCCGCTCATGGCTCAGCTTCATGCGCGATGACGGTGGGCCGCTCCCCGCGACGAAAGGTGTCCCGCTTTCCATGTGCTTCTACTCATAATGTCTTCCAACTTCCGAGACAGCTTCAATAAACATACGATTCGGTGACTTGACATTGAGGTCAAGTGTCATTTCATACATCAAAGCACAAAAGCAACCTCATTCATCTTCCATCGCAACACCAAACGAACAAGCACATCGCAATCATGTCTTCAGCTTTAATAAACACCGACGACGACAACATGGAGCCTTCCCTCCAGTCTATTCTGGATCAAAAGACACTCCGCTGGATATTTGTTGGAGGAAAGGGAGGTGTGGGAAAGACGACGACTTCCTGCTCTCTCGCCATACAAATGGCAAAGCACAGAAGGAGTGTTCTTCTCATCTCGACAGACCCGGCACACAATCTCTCAGACGCTTTCAACCAAAAGTTTGGCAAGGACGCAAGACTGATTAATGGATTCGCCAACCTCTCTGCCATGGAAATCGACCCCAATGGAAGCATAACCGAGATGCTGAATGCAGGACAGGGCGACGATGGCAGTAATGACATGATGAATGGACTTGGTGGTATGGGAGGCATGATGCAAGATCTGGCCTTTAGCGTAAGTCACGAAACACCTAGACATCTGGCCCAAATGATATGCAACTCTAACATTTCCTGCATCAGATTCCTGGTGTCGACGAAGCAATGTCTTTCGCCGAAGTCCTCAAGCAAGTCAAGTCCCTCAGCTACGAAGTCATCATCTTCGACACTGCTCCAACCGGTCACACCCTACGCTTCCTGCAATTCCCCACCGTCCTCGAGAAGGCTCTCGCCAAGATTTCTCAACTTTCTGGCCAATTCGGTCCCATGCTTAATTCCGTCCTGGGTGCCCGCGGCGGCCTCCCCAATGGCCAATCCCTGGACGACATGATGAAGAAGATGGAGGATCTCCGCGCCACCATCGGCGAAGTAAACACTCAATTCAAGGACGCCGACATGACAACCTTTGTCTGTGTCTGTATTCCCGAGTTCTTGTCTTTGTACGAGACCGAGCGCATGATTCAAGAGCTGGGTAGCTACGAGATCGATACGCATAGTATTGTTGTGAACCAACTGCTCTTCCCCAAGCAGGACAACCCTTGCGAACAGTGCAATGCCCGCAGAAAGATGCAGAAGAAGTATCTGGAGCAGATTGAGGAGCTTTACGAGGAGTTCAATGTCGTCAAGATGCCATTGCTTGTTGAGGAGGTACGAGGCAAGGAGAGGCTTGAGAAGTGAGTTGCTTGGCATGTCCAGGAGATGAGACTTCTCGCTAACAACATTCGCAGATTCAGTGAGATGCTCATTACTCCTTATCAGCCTCCGCAGTAGATGTAGGGCTGGTTGCAAGGTTGAGCGAGGCATTTAGTCGAAATTGAGCGGCTACACGATTTATACCAATGAACAGAGCAGCGGGCGTTCTCACTTTATTAATTCAGAGTGGTCCATCCTTTTTCCTAGACATAGCACTATTGGCTTGATAGGATCGTTGGCTTTGGAAGTTGGCTTTGGGAAAAGATAATCTCTAGCAGCAATGATACCACTGATGAACAAAAAACACCAAATATTTCAACAACCCAAGATGAAGTGACTACGGTAGATTTGAAGGAGAAAAAAATCCAAAGAAAAGCAACTCCCCCGCCTAGGCTTGAACTAGGAACCTCTCGATATCAGAACGTCCAGGTTTCACACATGAAACTTTAGCTAACAGTCGAACGCGCTAGCCAATTGCGCCACGGAGGATTTAACTGTTTTGACAGCTAGTGGCGATGGAAGATTAATTTTTGTGAGGGTATATGATCGTTGGGTTCTTCGGAAGAGCTAGGGTGAAGGCTAACTTGTCTTGGAATCGTCCATTTCACATCCATTGGCCGGCCCCGGTGGTCTAGTTGGTTAGATCTCCATCATCCAAGGCGTCAGATCTGTTTGAATGCACAGAAAGTCGAGGGTTCGAATCCCTCAGGGGCCCATGAAATCTTTCCGTGGAGCTGTCCCACGCTAAAAACGAAACTTGTATTATAGTGGCTTGGGTCCCCACTATAATATAGGTTAACACGCCAAAAGAAGGCGAAAAACAAGTGCAGAGGCACATTAACGGTTAGAGCTGAAGAATGAGACGCAGACTACACAAATATTTGTATACTTAGCAAAGTAAATAGTAGCCGCTCATGCTTCCTGTGGTAAGCGTATGAATCAATCAATCAATCAATCAATCCATCAATCAAACATCCATTGGCCTTCCATTGTTACACTTGCGCGTCTTGTTTGATCGTGATTGAGCACGCTTCATCATTGTTTGTATTATTTTGTTGCTATCTTGTGTCTTACACACGATTTCGGTTCATGCGAACGTACTGTAGTTCATTGATACGAGTTGTGTAGTTGAATATCAACGATTTCTCGAGATCATGGCACTTTCAGCCTTTCAGCCTTCGGGTTCATTCTAATGAGCAGAAAGCCCTGCCCTATGGATGATTATCTGTCAAGATGACCTGTTCCTATCTGGCATCTGCACTAGTAGTCACCTTGCCCTTCCTAAGGTACCCGAGACGTGGTTTCGGCGAACGCCAGATTCAACTCCATTCTGGCCTTTGCTGCACAACCGAAAATCTCACGCGGCAGCTTGGAAATTGCACTTTCTGTGTCACTTTCTGTGACACGCGTTTCCGGCACTACTCAACTCTCTTGTTGAGGTAAAAACAAGGCTGGTTGTAAAAGCTGTCTGGTCGGATCACACGCAGTGCGGCCCGTTGTGTCCCTGATGACCCTTCAAGGCCAACTTGCGACTTGGTCAGTTAGCTGATATCAAAGTTTCACGTTCTTCCTGTCTTACAAAGTGGCTACTTTTTGCTAGGAAGCACCGAACTATGGCTTCAGTGCTCAGCAATATTTGGTCATCGTCACACTGTCATTAGAAACACTTCTCCTCATTAGGCTTCTTGCTTCGAGTCAACTCACCCGCGTAGCCATGCACTGGTCTGGCATCAATGCTGAGGGATGTTTACTCCTGGCTATTCTGTTGAGTGCTTTGCACAAGCATGTACGATCAACGCAGGCAAGTCCGTTAAAGGAGATAGAAGACACTGATGGCTACACTTTAGCAACAGCTGAGTCACAGGAGCTCTGTATAACAGAGTGACCGAGTGCTCACAAGGCACATGCAGAATCGAGCATCACCCAGCTCATTGTTGAGACAGACTGAAACCTCTAAGCTTGAGCTGTGTTAGCAAAATCATTACCTTTCTCCGTTGTCCAGACGTTTCCCAAAAGATACCTTATATTATCCCGATCTGCCGCATAAACCTTGTACGCCACAAAAGCGCAGACTGGAGCTGTTTTCACAATATATGATGACCGTCGACATAAATTTGGTCGCTTTGATTATCTCGGCAGCTGCTCTTGTTGGGACAACCCTCCAGGCGTTGCAGCAATACGCCGCCACTTCAGACGGCTACCGGAGATGTGCTCCAGCTGTTGTTGGACCATGGCACAGGAAGCGAAGACGACGGTTCCGCTGGCGAGAGTTGAGGTTTGAAACTCTCTACGCTGCACCATTCATCGGTTTTTCAGAATACTCTATGGAGGCTTCAATCGCACGCTTCTGCAATGACACAAGTCTCCAACCATCTGGTATCAAAGAAAGAGGTGTATGTGACGAGCGCGCCGGCTGGCTCTTTATGATAGAGTGTCTCTGTGTTCATCATTCATTCCTCAAATCTCTTTCACAACAGAAGCTGAAAAGCGCTCGTGGTTTTCTAGTTCCGAAGGTCGAAGAACTTTCGCGGTCGTGGGAATTCATGCCTCCCAATGTTATTCGACCTCTTGGAGTGTGCCAAGTAAGTTCGCTTGTGCGGATTACACGCTTATTAGGCCTATCTTGGGTACAGTTTGACCCTGTCTCTGGAACATATCGAGCCGAAGGGAACCATCAAACGATCACGTCGTCTGTGATACGAGGCATTGGCACAGCGTTGCAATACACATGTGATCCTCCACCACGCGGAGACGAAACGCTAAGAGACCGGATACGATACGCCAGCCCATATGCTGAGGCGGACAATCTTTCATGTGGGATTCTTGCATACAGAAATCGGCGTGGAGATCCTTTATTGTTCGACACAAACGAAAACATCAAGAGTGCTGCAAAAGGTTTCTTTGGATGCTGGGAGGTATACAAAAAGGAACAGCCGAGAGATAGGGGATACGTGGCAGACATAGCTACCTGGGGCATTCTTAGAAGTTATAACATGGAGAACGCTTACGTTGACATAATGGCGATGACACAGCCCTACATGGGCGTATGTTCAACGGATCCATGCTTACTGACTCTATCTAATGTTATCTATAGGGGCTCCTTCGGTTTGGGGCTCTTCGATGCTGCTTCGATACACTACAACCAATTGTTTCAAAGGCTAGGTGTTACAGCCTCTCGTCAAGTCCAGTGGGTACATGAGCAGCTGTCTAAACTCCCCGGTGTATCCTTCAAGGATGGTTACGATGTCTTCTGTGCAGCCGACGACTATTTGAAAGAGAACTCGTTCTTGGGGCCTAGTCATGATGGCTGGTTGGATCCTCTACTGAGCGCTTATGTCTTGGCTATATGTCAGGAACATGGGCACTACGTAGAGTTCGAAGAGCGCCTCTTCATTGACTTCTCACGCCTGGGAAAGGGCGTCTGCCAATGGATCTTGACAAATCACGAGGAAGCGCAGCCACCCTTCGTTACGTTTCTTAGTCTGTCCGAGCAGGAGCAACAATCGATGGTGGGAGAGGCATGGCTCACAATGCTTCTTCGTGGACGTTACTGGCTACTACTCCACAAGTTGGAACGCAGTACCCCTGTGGAAACCAAATGGCTTGGGAGTTCTCTTCCAGTCTACATAGGCTGATCATGACATATGTATATCTACACTGCCCTTTCTGATGCTTACCTGTTTCTTAGCAACGCTACGAGTTCACAACATAGTTTTTTAAGAATGGTTCTTTAGTATTGTCGCAAACCTCAATACTGTCTGCAGAGCTTAGTGCCTGCTTCGCTTTATTCCCTGCACGAATTGCAACACTGATGTCGCATCAGCAGTACCGACAAGTCAAACCTGGTATGAGCGACATCATAATGCGTATCGCCTGATGATTGATGTACAAAGAAAACTGGGCAAGACGTTGATCTAGAGCCGCGAGATGATGAGGCATGAACCAAAAGGTTGCTTTGGTAACGGCCCGAGGACTATGAAGACTCGTCATGTGGAGCCGGAGGTACTGGTATCCCAGATACTCAACGGCTACAAGGTGACGGGATTAAGGAAGTCAAGGAACAGTATCATGGCAGGCATAAGAAGGCGGGATACTTCGATCGAGTTTCAACTTTACATAATTTGAGTGTCTGTACGGCCTCGTGCATTGGTCTTCCCAGCCCAGTATCTTGATTCCTGTAAAGGCGCACCAGGCTTGGTCAATTAGCGTTTGAGCTCGGTGTTACAGAGTCCTATTTTCAGGACGGTCGCGGTTCATGACGTCACTTGCCAAGCCAGTATTGTGTACTCGGCTCGGCTGTAGCGGTGTACAGAGAACATCATTTCTTCTTCCAGCTGTGCCCCTGAGCAACCTTAACTAGTTGCTCGGAGAATAATATATGCCCTCGTGCATGGGATGTGAGGTGACATAGGCTTGAGTTAGCGTACAGATCCTGCGAGCTTGGCCTGCAGGTACTGCGGGCATATAACACGATCTCTCCCAGCCACAAAGGCCTGGGCTCTACCAATTCACATTCACGCTATACGAGACTTCAAATATTCAAAGCTCGAGTAATAAATACCAGATCATTACACCCACGATCTAAGCAACAAACCACCATCACAATCCTAACACCCACCTCACAAATCAATCAACATGGTCTCAGCAAAGTCATTCGCCGTTGCAGTTGCAGTTGCAGCCATAGTCGCTCCCCTCGCCTCTGCTCTCCCCGTCATCTCCTCGCGCCAGTCTGCAAGCAATATCTTCGATAGCAGCAAGCCTTTCACTCTTCAAACATCTGTGACAAAGGGCAATTCGAGCTTCTCGGACTTTTTCCTCACCTCTTTCCACGTTGGCGCTGCTCAACAAACAATCGTCGGCACCACCAATTCTAGCAGGGCTATTGGATGGGGAATGTTGAATGTGCATTAGGATTGACAGGAACAAGAAACTAATAGAATGTTTAGAAATCAATGAAGGATCCCTCCAACAACCCCTCTCCTCTGAGGCATCTTCAAACCTCCCCTCTTACAACCTGACTCTTCTCAACCAAGCACCATACCGATCTAGCGCCCCCTCTGGATATGACTACATATCCCTCTCCTACTCCGGAAGCACTCCCGGCTTCGAAATCGGCTTCGAAAGCACAAACTCTTCCGCTATTGTGCACTACGCCGCTACTGCCAACTCTACTCTTGACTTTGCTGGCTTCGCCCTCTGCTACGTGAATGGCACTGCTCCTTACTTCACTATTGGACCCGAGTACCAGCTATTGTGGAAGAGTGCCAACACCACCTCTTGTTACGAGAGCTGCGCTGATGTCGACCTTATTGCTGTCAACCTTTAAGCGGGTCGAGGCAAACTTCAATCGGGGAGATATCTTATGGAGAAGGAGATAGCATGAAGAAGAGAAAGAAGAAGAAGGACTGGTTTATCGATTGCACCGCGCATTTGCATTTGCCTCATTTTCACGACACTCATTTTCGACGACAAGCGATTGATTTCGAAGC